TCAGAAAACCTCGACATCAAACGCACACTCGCTATTTTCGTCGAAAACATATGTGAGTTCCACAAAAATAACGCTACCTTTATTTATCTTTAGAAAGCGTACGGGCAACTCTAATCCGAGCATCAAATCCTAGTTATACTGCTACCATCTACGGTATCATTTTGTTTTTGAGAGTATGATCATATTGCCTCTATCGTGCACTTTCAGGATTGAGTTAAGCGAGGCTCATGGAGCCGACGAGTTACTTGTGATTTAAGAGATGAAATCGGTGTTTTAAAAATGTAGTCGAATCTCATTGGTTTATTTGAGTACAATATCGTTCTAGGTATCGATACAAACGACGTACTCGCGCTTTTTAAATCCAAAAAATATTGTTCCCCTTGATATATATATATATACATATGAATAGTTTAGCGTCTGCTGACGCTAACAATATAAGTGTAGAAAAGATCGAAAATCCTAAGAAAAAAATACGAAGTGTTGTAATGAAATAAGTGCAGGTTTTTATAGTTATTTTAAATATAAGTAGCGTTTTTTAATTCCACCAGATGTTTTTTTCAACTTCGATTGATTGTTGTCCAGAATTGGGAATAGCAGTGTTCCTATCGATGGCAGATGGAGGGTGTGGATATGGATATTAGTGTGGGGTATCGGTGCCACTATCGATCTTCTGTTCACTCACACTTCACCCTTTAATGATGCTATATTTGCATGGCAAGAATCAGACGAGGTTTCATATCATCGATTGCATCGACGACTATTACAATATTACAACAACCCACTCGACGAGAAAAGCTACTTCGAAATATGGCACAAGATCCAATTCGATCACCTATAGTGTTACAAACCAAAGCGTGGGATAAGAATATAATGTGTCCACGCTATTTATTTGACAGCTGAACATCTAACTCATTCAAAAGGTAGTGTTACAAATGGTGGCATAAATATTATGCATTCAAAGGCTCATCATTGAAAACTGTTAAAGTACGACTCATATCAAATACAGAACGAACACGGGAAACATTTTTCATACACAGAGCATCACAAAGAGAAATGCTCGCGCGTATGGAATACAATACGATGAATAGAGCTCCTGTAATAAACTTGCAGTCAACGATTGCTTAAAAATTCATCAAGACTTCTTTTCTTCATTTGATATTCATTAACTAAATAACATATTCATAAAAACAACTAAAAAATCTCATCCTCACTGTACCTCTAATAAATCCATCTTAAAATAAATTCCTTCTCAACCGAAACGCACATTTCATCAATAGAAATTTTTAATCATTTTCCTCCATACCCAAAAAACCAAGAAAAAAACATTATCTCAACGATACATCTTTACTGAGAATTTCCACTCTTATGGGTGTGGGTGTGGGTGTATTTATCATGTCTCGCTACAAACCCCATGCCGACACCGGCACATCCACACCCTAGATCAGTCATATTTTTTTAGTAATACTATTCGAGAAAGGAGTGAATGCCCTTGTTTCCGGGAAATTCTAAAGTCTTATAACCACACGCACCATTGTTTAAGAGAATAAAAATTTCATTTTCTTGATTAAGTTCGTTTTCCAAATTTTTCGATAGTAGTATGAAAAAGAAATCTATAAAACAAACGCCAGGAACGATATTGTTTGCAGCGAACGAAGAAAAACGAGAATTATTGTTTGAGAAATTTTTCTCAGACAACTATTCAAAGTATACAACTTATTATGTCATCTACGAAAATATATCACGTTAAATCCATATCAATGATAATGATAGTAACAGTTTTATTAATATTTTAATTAATGCAAAGTATTTATGAGTGTACATCTTTATTATGTTTTATTTTAGTGAATATTTAAGAAAGAATATTCACGATTTTAAAGATGAAATTGGTGTTTTAAGAATAAACTCGAATATCGATTCTCGTTGATTTGTTTGAGTACAATATCGTTCGAGATATCGATACAAATCCCGTACTCTTGCTTTTTGTCCCAACAAATATTGATAAACTGCAAACAATGAATTAACCAGTTTCTTATCAAGATATGCTGCATAGATTAGCGGACGTCCTACTGCAGAAGCAGCCATTAGCTGAATGATTGCTAAAGTCAAATGCATCTCGGTAACATATGTTTCGATATTTTATTAAGTCTTACCTTTCAATTCACGATCACCATTGAATGCACCACAACCCCAACTTCCAGTAACAATACCAAAATATGCGTCATCTTCCTTTTTTGAGTCTTGAGGATAGAAACTTGTGTAAGCTTTAAGCAAATCACGATCAACATGTTTCATGTCATACTGTAAACTCGGTTCAGCAAAATACATAGCATCCATTGCTACTACATGGCACCATTTCCGACCCCAATTGTCTCTAAATGAAATTCTCAAGTGATGATATTATGAAGCGAGAAATTTCAACCATGAGAAAGATTTTCCTATTAGAGCAGTAAAGATCAGTACCATCGTATTCTGCGCTTTTATCGATTGTGAAAAGTTACTATGTTAATTCGATTTCTTACTTAGCTACTTTATCTTCATAGTTTCCATCGAATCGAAATGAATCCGCATAATTTCTGTACGATGAATAGCGTTCACAACCAATAAGAAATATACATTCGTTGGGTTCCATCTTTTCACAAATCAGTAAACTAACAAGCATTTCAGGGCAAATACAAAAGCGAATTTCTTCCTGTACACATCCTGCACTTAAAACACCGCCGCCCTAATTTTACATAAAATACATCCATTATAAAAAAAGAAATCAATTTTTAGAAACTTACGATATATTTGTTAGCAAATTCAACCTAAAAGATGTCACAGAATTCAAAGTATCTGATTCGAATCATTTTCTTTACTTGTAAAGCACAACTGATATCTTCAATTTTGTCGCTCATAGTCAAGTGTATATGAGAGAGTTCTGCTTTTGATTTCGACCAATTCGGATGTTCACTCTCAGGTAATGAGAAACGTTGAAAAGTAATAACACCGTTGGGCACTTAATTGCGGAGAGGCAGTAGTGAAAATGAATAATCGAATTCAAAATAAAATATACTTCTTTCTGTAATCCTCTGAAAATAATGTAAAATGCATCGAAGTTTTTCAATTTTCTGTGAAGGTCCATATTGATACAATCTTTAACAAACGATGATAAATTGTACATTCAAAAGATAAGATTTTTATACTTTATGAAATTTGGATCTTGAAAATTTTTTTGTCCATCGTTCGGTTCTCGATCAGATCGATATGGAAATAAGGAGAAAAATGCACAAGCTAGCAACGAAGCAGCTTGCCGTTGTGACATTGTAACCCATCGATTCATTCCGATGCGTAGTAATGCAGGTGGCTACAATATAACATATTTTTCAAGTGCGAAAAAAAAGTTGTACCATCAATTAATACTCGACTACACAATGTATCAACATTGAGTGCCAGATCACAAATATTCGATAGAATAGTCGTCATAAATTGAGCACGTTGCATGTTCGAATAAACCTTTTGATGATCTTTTAGCTTAAATCTTTTTATTTATGGTAAAAATAAAATCTTACGCTAGTAATGAGTACTTCAAGACAATAGATATCATAATTATCCCCAGCACATTTGATAATGGTTGCCTACCGTAATTGTTTGCATATTGAAGTGAGAGTATCATGTGATGATAAACTTACTTTTAAATCCTCAAAGGTAGCTAATTTAGCATCGCATTTTTTTTTGAGTTGTATCAACTCCTGACGAATCATCGGCCAAGGCGGCTGCGTATTATTCTATGCCAAATTAATTGAAAACGACTTAATTGATGCAATAATTTTATCTTACAGTAATATAGCATGGTGAACATGGCATTTGAACATAATTTGCATCCCATCGATCAATATATCCACTTGCATAATTCACCGGTATTGGTTCAACATAGGAACGTGATCGATCGTATTTGAACGGCTAGTGAAAATGAAAATGCTAAAGCTGTTATTTTTCAGTAGAAAAATTATTTACAGATATCATAAATGTATGGCTATTTCTCTCGAATTTCTCCATATCTTCCATTGATGGAGGGTGACGATGATCATTAATAATTAAGTCTAAGAGTACACCCTGTACAAACAAAATTTCAAAACAAAGACAAATCGATGAATCGTGATAATCACTTTTTTCAATTTTTCAGGAGCTTCATCTGCTTTGATCAAACTTTTATCGACTGCAGCACCTATATTTTTTTATTCGATAAAACCTGATGAAAAGCACACACAAGTCTAACGTACTAGTTCTTGAAGTTGCAATTTGATCATTACGTCTGATTTGTTGTCGTGTATTGTGAAATTGATCAGTCATCTGCTTTTTATTAACACTATTCTTGTAATTGATTCAACGTTTATATTTAAAAGCTCACCGCCGTGCGAGTTTCCATGCATATGAAAAACAAAATATATGTTTACAACTCTGATCAACGTATTTCATCAGAAGGTTATTAATAATACATTCCTATTGCTTTCGTGAGTAAACGAAAACATATTTGACGAACGAATGCAAGTCAGAGAAAAGAGTGAATTCTCTTGTTTTTGCAAAATTTAAAGCCTTAAAAGCACATGTGTGAATGTATGGTTTAACGCATGTAGATTCCAAGGTTCAATTTTATCTTCCTCATATAATTTTTTTCAAAGTCTGCAAATTTTATTATTAAAAATGTTAGATAAATATCGAATATATAATTTTACATCTTTATTATGTTTTATTTTTAATGAATATTACATTTTAAAGAAAGAATTTTCACGATTTTAAAGAAGAAATCGGTTTCCTTAGAATATATTCGAATAGTGATTCGCGTCGATCAGGTTGACCACAATATCTTTGCAGATACTGATACAAATCCCGTACTTCTGCTTTTTGATTCCACAAATATTGATGAACTTCAAAGAATGATTTAACCAGTTTCTTATCAAGATACGATGCATAGATTAGTGGGCGTCCAGCTGCAGAAGCAGCCATTAGTTGAATGATTGCTAAAGTCAAATAGATCTCAACAATGATTGCTTTCACACTCTGCTATATCTTACCTTTCACTTGTCGATCACCATTAAATACGCCACAACCCCAACTTCCTGTAGCAATACCGGAACACGCATTGCCTTTCTTTTTTGTATCTTGCGGATAGAAACTTGTGTAAGCTTTAAGTAAATCACGATCAATATTCTTCATGTTATACTGTGACCTCGGATCAGGGAAACAAATAGCGTCCATTGCTACTACATGGCACCATTTTCTGCCCCAATTGTCTCTAAACCAAGTACTCAACAATAAGAATCCATCTTCACTACAATCTCTGTTATTCTATCAGTAAGAAATCTTCTTCTCAACGAGAGTTTTCATTAAAAAAAGAATCAACTGAAAATATTTCTTACTTAGGTGTGTTATCTTTATAATTTCCGTCGAATTGAAATGACTCCGCATAACCTTTGTATGACGCATATCGTTCACATCCAATAAGAAATATGCATTCGTTGGGTTCCATCTTTTCACAAATCAGTAAACTAACAAGCATTTCAGGGCAAATACAAAAGCGAATTTCTTCCTGTACACATCCTGCACTTAAAACACCGCCGCCCTAATTTCACATAAAATATTTCCATGATAAATAAAACAAACATCGATGTTCAGATACTTACGATATATCTATTAGCAAAGTCAACCTAAACGATATCACAGAATTGAAATTATCTGATTCGGATCGTTTTCTTTACTTGTAAAACGCCATCAATGTCTTCAATTTTGTCGCTCATAGTCAAATGTATATGAGAGAGTTCTGCTTTTGATTTCGACCAATTCGGATGTTCACTCTCAGGTAATGAGAAACGCTGAAAAGTAATAACACCGCTGGGCACTTAATTGCGGAGAGGCAGTAGGGAAAATGAATAATCGAATTCAAAATAAAATATACTTCTTTTTGTAATCCTTTGAAAATAATGTAAAATGCATCGAAGTTTTTCGATTTTCTGTGAAGGTCCATATTGATACAATCTTTAACAAACGATGATAAATTGTACATTCAAAAGATAAGATTTTTATACTTTATGAAATTTGGATCTTGAAATTTTTTATATTCTTCTGTCGGTTCGTGTTCAGATCGATATGGAAATAAGGAGAAAAATGCACAAGCTAGTAACGAAGCAGCTTGCCGTTGTGACATTGTAACTGAGTGATTGTTTCCGGCGAGTAATAATGGTGGTGACTGAAACATAGCGTTTTCATGGTATCAACAAAAAGCAAAATCAATCAATCATTACTCGACTACAGAATATATTAACATTGAGTGCTAAATCACAAATATTGGATAGAACAGTTGACATAAAATGAATATGCTCCTCGGGTGCATACATCTATTCATGAACTACTAAATTAGACTTTTACACTTAAAAGAAAAAAATCTTACCCTAGTGATGAGTACTTCGAGGCAGTACGTATCATAATTATTTCCAGCGCATCGCATGATGGTTGCCTATTGCAGAAGTGGTTAAATTGGAAGTTAAGTGTGAAAAGAGTTGCATTACTTTTAAATCTTGAAAAGTGGCTAATTTAGCATCACATTTTTTCTTCAGCTGTCCCAAATCTTCACGAATCGTAAGCCATACAGGTTGATTGTTTTTCTACGACAGTATATATTAACGTGATGGCAACCGTAAGAGCGCATAGTTAACTTACAAATGTATAATATAGTGAACATGGCATGCGTACATAATTTTTTTCCCATCTATCAGAGTATCCCATTTCATAATTAATTGGGCCTGGTTCAACATTAGGGAGAGATGGATCAAATTTGAATGGCTATTAAAAATAAAATAATATGCACACCTCTTTATTGCAAAAATAGCCTACTAAAATCATGAGTGCATGACTGTTCTTATCGACTCGCTCCATATCTTCATTGTTAGGAGGTTGGTCATATTTTTTGATAATATCCTCTAAGGGTGTTCCCTATAGATAATAGTATAGCATTTTCCAGTGAATAGAAATTTCGTACTATGGTATTTACCTTTGATACTTTTTCAGGCGTTACATCTGCATCGACAAAATTTCTCTGGACTACAGCGCCTAGTGTATTTTGTTTGATTATTTTCCTGAATAAAACCTGATTAAAATGTATGCAAGATTCTAACATACTTCCTCTCGGACTTGCAACTTGCTGATCAACTTTCATACGTCGTCTTCGTCGTGCACTGCTGTCTCGATCGCTCATAGTTTATCGTAATACTTTTATTTTATTAATTCAACGTTTAAATCTAAAGAAAATTAAAATTCCATGCGTAAAATACGTTTGTGACTATCATCAAAACATTTCTTCAGAAGATTCTTGCAGAAAACGCAAGCTTTTTTTCTCGCACGTGTGGGCAAAAACATCTTTTGAAAACAAGCGGAAGAAACAGAACAAAGTAAATTTTGTTTCTTTGTTGCTACAGACAGGCTCGACAAATAATAATATCCAAATCGTTGAAGGTATTGAAAAAAGAATAGCAATACATCGAGTGCTGTTTTCATCGTGTCTAACATTATACAGTCAAGTTTATCATCGTAGTAAATGTGACAATTCACAAAATTGATTCAATAAGACCTTTAAGTTGAAACTTTTGTAATTGCACAGTAGCCCTATTCTTGGTGTTTTAACACGCTTGGCAATTGCATCACGACCAAGAGAATACTCGTATATAGAAGAAAATTGATTTACTGTATATGTGAGTATGCCAATCATGTCGTGTTTTTTCAACGCATGAGACAGAAATAAAACGAAGAATGATAAGAGAATATTTTTATTTACCGGTAAAAAGCAACGTGAGAAGATACACCTCTTCGGAAGGGCTATTTTATCTAAATAGAATATTTACGTTAAATAATTTGTTTTAAAAAGCAGCACAGGGGGGGGGCGAATATACAATAGCGCATCGTTTTTATATTTTTCTTTTGAATGTTATGATTTAAGCGATGAAACAGGTGTGTCCAAAATATAGTCGAACAGTGATTGTCTTTTACCTTGACTAAAATATCGTTGAAGGTACCGATAACAATCTGATACGGTTGCTTTTTGGTCTTTCAAGAACTCATAAACAATGTAGAATGAATTGATTAGAACTTTGTCACGATAAGCTGCATAGATAAGTGGACGTCCAGCTGCAGAAGCAGCCATCAATTGAATTATTGCTAAATGCAAATTATCAAAAAATTCAATACTGTTATTCTAATTTAAGAGATACCTTTCAGATATTTGTCACCATTGAATGCCCCACAGCCCCAATTTCCAGTAGCAATGCCAGACGTATAATCTGATCCATATCTCGATGGAATAAAGCTTGTATAAGCTTTGAGTAGTTCACGATCTACGCAATGCATATCATATTGTGCGGATGCGTGACGAAAGTATATTGCATCCATGGCTACCACATGGCACCATTTTCTACCCCAATTATCTCTAAAGAAGTATCACTAGATAAACATACAACAGCGAAAACATGTGTAAAGCATCGTAAAAATATTCTTCAGAGTAATTTATTTTTCTCTATCAAGAAAATAAATCCACCTGCGATCTTGTTTAGATTACGGCACACGATTGAAATCGAAATCATTGCTTACTTAGGTGTGTTGTCGTCATAATTTCCACCGTATTGAAATGAATCTGCATAACCTATATATGATGAATATCGTTCACACCCAATAAGAAAGATACATTCATTGGGTTCCATCTTTTCGCACATAAGTAAACTAACGAGCATTTCAGGGCAAATACAAAAGCGAATTTCTTCCTGTACACATCCTGCACTTAAAACACCGCCGCCCTAATTTTACATAAAATACATCCATTATAAAAAAGAAATCAATTTTTAGAAACATACGATATATTTGTTAGCAAAATCGACCTAGAAAGAAATATAAACAATGAATATGAGAGGTCACAATTTATATTTACTTGTAAAACACTCGGGACATCTTCGATTTTTTGACCTGTTGTCAAATGTAAATCACAAAGATCTGTTTTTACCTCTGACCATCGTGGAAAATGAGCTTTGGGTAAAACAGCACGTTGAATTGTAATCACACCGGTTGGCACTAAATTAACAAAAATATTAGGCCTCGTAGGAAATATCAAACTATTGCTAACTCACTGTTCTCAGTTACACGTCGAAAATAATGGAAAATACATTTGAGTTTTTGAATTTTTCTTGGATGTCCACTTTTGTATAGTCTATAGATTAGAAAGATTCGAATTAAGAATGCATTTAGACTAGATGAACTGTAGTTACAAATTAAAATTTGGATTTGGAAAATTGCGATATTTATTTTTAGCTTTTTGTTCGGAACGCATTGGATATAAGCAAAAAACTGAACAAGCTAACAACGAAGCAACTTGTTCTTGTGACATCGTAACTGAACGATTTGATCCGCTGCACAGCAATGGCGGCGACTAAAACGTAGTACATTTCTTATATGAAATCATAATAAAATTATATAAAAAAAAAACTCTACTTGACCACATATTTTATCTACATCAAGTGAAAGATTACATATATTGGATAGAACAATCGACATAAAGTGGCCACGTTCTTCATTTGAATAAACCTTGAAATAATCAAAGTTTTATTTTTCCGCTTTGAAATAACAAGAAACAGTTTACTTGATTTATTAACTTTTCTAGAGAACCTAATTCACAATGATGATGCATACACTTTCGAATTGCTCCCTGTGATAATTAGAAGCGTTCCCTTTTTTTTGTGCGCAAATAGAGAAATTCTATCTACTTTAAAATCATTAAATGTAGCCGTATGATTATCACACATCGTCTTCAGAATAACCAATGCTTCACGATTAAATAGCCATACCGATTTTTTATTTTTCTTCAATAATAAAATTAATATTACTCAAACGAAAGATAATCGTTTACAGTAACATTGAACTTTGAATATGGCATAAGCACATGATCTACATCGGATCGATTGCCGCGCCGATTTTGAATATAATTTGCTGTAGGTCTACGTTCCGGATGCAATGGATCATATTTAAATGGCTATTGGAAATAATATAGAGACAACTAAGATCAAGTCTAATCATTTTTATAAGGTATTTACTGAAATCATAAATATAAAGTCTTTGTTTTGAATGTCTTCCATATTTTTTATATAAGATACTGGGCGATGCATATTTACAATGGTTTCTAACGGTATACCCTAGAGTCATATATATCCAAATATGAATACCGGCAGATTTTAAATCTTACTTGAGAAATATTTTCATCAGTACCTTCATCGGTAAGGCAAGGATCAATTATTTCTTTATCTTCATCTTGTTGTTAATGAATATAAATTACTTAACTGAAACAAAACAAAAATACGAAGGCATGACTCACTTTCTTCCGAGGCTGAATCATCGTCACCATCGGGTTGTTGTGCGTCTACAGATAACGTAGCCGCCATGTTATCTAGAATTATTCAAATACTATCCTATGGTTTTAAATCAAGAAAACAGTAGATGCCTCGAATGAAGCTACTTTCAAAGAAAAAGTGAGTAAACATTCGTAATAAAATGCTACTGATCGAGAAGTATTCGCTTACCTTTTTGAATGATTCATAGATTGTTGGTTCTTGCATAAAACAACTGCCACGCTACAGAATGGGGAAAACCATACAGCCAGTGGGTTTCTCGGATTTCTCAAGAGGTTGAAAACGCAACTTACAAGAATTATGTGAACCCAAAGGCTGCAGAACTTTAACAAAAACTAAAAAACTATGTAAATACAACTCCATGGCGTAAATTTCTTCAAAAAAAAATGGATTTCGTTATTTTGCGGAGAGTCGTCGGGGGAGAGTTGATTAGGGACACCCCGTTGAAACAAATTTAATCGGATCTAAATTGGATTTAATATTTTAGAAAAATTGAATGCATCAAATATGAATTGAGAAGAATTAAACTTAAAAATACTTGCGTTTTATTTTCTGATTTATTGAATGTTTGTGACTATGAATTCAACATCCTTCAACTCAATGACATTGATAAATGAAAGAAAGTTTCTTCTGTAATCAAAGCCCAGTTACATCAATATCATCATACGAACCAAAATCATATTTTAGTCGCTTTATAGGTAGTATCATTAGTCAGTATCGGGTAATCTATATATGATTCACAATATTTATTATTAAAATCTTAGATTACATGAAAATTCTTTTTTTCACACGCCAATAAAACAAAGCAGCTTCATAAGTATTATCTTTGTATTAGTCGTTACTGAATATCCTCTAACTGCTCAATGTTGAAAGCGGCTCTTCATTGAACGCTACGAAATGCATTTTATTTCGGTGAAAGCCCAGCGAAATGATTTTTCTAAGGGAAAGCAAGTACTCTTGTTATACTCTGGTGCTCAGCAATAGTCTAAATTCGAATTTGCTTTATAGAACGGCTTAAAATCATTAGGTTTTAGAAGACTGCGATTCTGATCTTGCATACAGAAGATTTGCATCACGATATTCGTGTTTTAAAACCATTCGCCTAGCAAACCTTCTATAAATCATTTCACATCGTTTCCAAAATAATGGAAAGGAATTAATTTTTGCCTAACTCACATGCATTGCACATTTTCTTTGAATCGTGACTCTAAAACGCGTTGTCTGCAAGCTGAAGTCCGTTTCACAGCGTTTCAATTCAGAAAACGGTTCGAAACGCAATGTAGAAAAGAAACTTTTCGGATTGCTTCGAAAAATTAACGTAGCAAAACGCATTCTATCTCAATAAAATGCTGCGAAAGGCATTTTGCCTTGAAGAAACGCGTTACGTGGCCCGCTTCCTTCAATTTTTTACGCCATGGGAACATAGAAGAGCGACTGCAATAGTCAAGTTGTGTACAAATTTTCGATGTTCTTTGTCGACTATGAAGGCACTCCCTTTCTTCCTCGGAAGTAGGCAATATTTGTTAGAATGACCGATATGAAGATAAATACAGGGGGAAAATGTTATGAAAGAGCATACCAAGCTAAAAGGACAAAAACGGAAGCAATTGAACTCGTAAACGATGCTAGATTTGATCATTGATTATTTATTATCTATTGAACGTATTATTGTGTGAAGCTGAAATATTCACTGGAATAACATATAAATGATATTTCTCTATATATTTACGTGTTGTCTTGATTATTGATCCGATCAAGCATAGATCAACAAAAATCACATATCAAAAGGATAAAATGATGAAAACTATTTTTTTTGAAAACGAGAAGCAGGTGGCATAAGAATGTAGTCAAATAATGATTGTTCAGGTTGGTCACGACAGTATCCCATCAAATAATAATATAAATCACTCACTGTTGCTCTTTCCTTTTTCAGATGCTCATAAAGTGCAGAAAATGATGTGACTAATTTTCTATCTCCAAAGGCTGCGTATACAAGTGGACGTCTAGCTTCAGAAGCAGCTATCAATTGAATAATTGCTAGAAGTTTATAAATGAAACAGTTTGTTAATTTTCCCGTGACTAATAACTACCTTTCAATTGTCTATCGCCATTAAATGCTCCACATCCCCAATTTCCAGTTGCAATACCAAACTTAGAATCGGCATCATGTCCTAAGGGACGAAAACTTGTGTAAGCTTTGAGTAGTTCACGCTCAATAGATTTCATATGATATTGAGTTGATGGATTTTGAAAATAGATCGCATCCATAGCTACTACATGACACCATAATCGATCCCAACTGTCTCTAAAACAAAGTATAGCTTGATAGAGATAAGAAATCAAGTCAGCTAGGAGTTGATTCGTTGGATTTAAAGTGCAATACCTAGGTGCTTTATCTGTATAGTTTCCAGCAAATTGAAACGAATGAGCATAGCCTTTGTACGATGAATAGCGTTCACAACCAATAAGTAAGATACATTCGTTGCACTCCATCACTTCGCAAATAAGTAAACTAACAAGCATTTCAGGGCAGATAGTAAAACGAATTTCTTCTTGTACACATCCACTACCTAAAACACCGCCTCCCTAATTTCACATAAAATATTTCCATGATAAATAAGCAAAACATCGACGTTGAAATACTTACAATATATTTGTTAGCAAAATCGACCTAATTAGAAAGAAATATAAATAATGAATCTGTGCGGTCGCTGTTTATATTTACTTGTAAAACACTCGGGATATCTTCGATTTTGTCACCTGTTGTCAAATGTAAATCACATAGATCTGTTTTTAACTCAGGCCATTGTGGATACTCGGATTTGGGCAAAACAACCCGTTGAAAGGTAATGACACCCGTGGGCACTAAATTAAAACCACATTGAGAATCGAAGAACAAATACTAATTGCTCGTCACTTACTATGATCAGTCACACGATTGAAATAATGTAAAATGCATTTCAGTTTCTCTATTTTACTTGGAGGGCCTCTTTGGTATAATCTTAACAATCGAGAATAATTCTCGTCAGTATCAAATATTGAAGTTTACACTTACGCTTCAAAATTAGGATTTTGATAATCTTCATATTCTGTTCTAAGCGTTCGACCACTACGATTTGGAAATAGACAGAAAAATGCACATGCTAGCAGTGCAGCAGCTTGCTGTTGTTGCATCGACACTGAACGATTTTCGTTGATACGTAATAAGGGTAGTGGCTAAAAACATTAGTTTCATGCTTTAAATTTTTTTATAAATAGCTTGTGTTTACAAATACCTGAGTACAAACTGATTTGATGTTTAATAAAAGATCACACATTTTAGGGAGAGTGACATACATAAAATTACGATATTCATTTTTAGAATAGATCTTCAAATAATAACAATGGATTAATACAATGAATAAACTAATATAGAACTAACTGGATCTATCAATCGCTGTAAACATTCCAGATCAAAGCTACGTTCATTACAGTCTTCAATCACTGTCTAATTTAATAGACTGTTTATTTGAATAGAATAATTTGAAAACACTTACTTTCAGATGTTTAAATTTAACCTCACGACTGTCGCATTTTGCTTTCAGAAATGACAAATGTTCACAAATCTTAGGCCATATAGGTTTTCTATCATTCTTTGGAAATATAAAATAATAAGCAATAATAAAAAGAACCGTCCTAGCTGACAGATATATAGTCGTTTGAGCATGGCATGCGAACATGATATTTGTCCCATCGATCGTTGTAGCTCTCGACATCATGCTCGGTATCCGGTTTATATGGAGCATATTTCAACGGCTAACCAATGATATACAATTAATTTTTAGAATAATGAAAATTACTTTGAATGTGAAAATCGTATTTTCTTCTTTAATCGCATCCATAGGGTTCAAAATTGGCGGTTGACGAAATCTTTTGATGATTGCTTCAAAAGGCACGCCCTTAAACACACCATATAGGAAAAGACAAAAGAAGCATGTATATCCTACTTTGTGTATTATTTCAGCAGATCGATCATCGTTCATATACTCCTCAAACATCTCCCGACCTAGAGAATTCAACTTTAGACATGTACACAAATTCGTTTATAAACGAAATAAATTTGAAATTAAAAAGAAAGTGATCCGACTAACTTTCTTCTTCGGTCGCATCACGAACATCTGATCTTGTTCGACGCCGATGATCTCCATGTGCAGCCATAGATCTGCGATGATCTCCATGTGCAGCCATAGATCTGCGATGATTGCGGCGGTGTTTATCAGTTCCTTTAGTTTGTGTAGCGTCTGCACTTGGCCCGGATCCCATTAAGTAATAAAAACCAAACTAATTTAGCTAAAAAATCGATGAAAATAGTAGTAAGAAGCCTTTATACTCAAAATAAAATGTGGTGAAAGTGTTTCTTCCGTGCCCCATGCCGACTATTTCTTCTCTTTTCATTTTTCTTTTTGTGACATTGATGATTACTTCAGTTTTTTTTTCTTTCTTAGTTCTTTAACACATGGCTTTTTTTTACGATATAACAAATTTATATCTCTCAGACATACAATAAAGCGAACTCATACAGAAGAATTCTTTTCGACAAATCCCGGAACCCATACGGTTGTCATAACTTCTGACCTAATGCAAATAAATGATTGCTATGAACAATATACAAAATAAAAGTTTCAAACTTCATTTTATCTTTTGTTTTTATTTCAAACAAATACGCAATTGTATAGAAAAATTAAAATTTTTGTTCTATAATAAAAATAAATGTTGTCGGTGAATAAAATCTACACACTACCATCTTTCAGTTAAAGTATGCAATTCAACAGTAGTCAGGCTCCTCCGAATTCACGAGTGTATTGCTTGACAATATTCTTGACTTTCGGAAAGAGCTGACGAATTTCTGCATCAGTCCATGGTTTTTTCTCGTCTTCGAAAGCAATATCTAATTGTTCGATACGAGCCAATGCAGTTTTTATAAATTTATCTTCCTGTTCATGTTGCAAAATGTCATGCAGTAATGATTGTTCAGTCTGAAATTTGAGACTAATTAAATTCGGAAAAATTTGTAGAAAACGTCGAAAAGCTTTGTAGTCTTTAAATGGCGACGACAAGTCGATGCGTAGTTCCTTGACAGATGGTATTTGTAAACTAGTATCCGCAAGAACATCATCATTCATAACTGCAACGTTTTGATGATCTTCATTTTCATGTTCATCTTCGTCTAACAAATCTATAATCCAATGTGTTAATTTAATTGTTTCAACTTTTGGAAAAACTTTTTCAATGAATAAAAATGTTTCGAAATTGAATGGCGTTGTATTGGTAAGTATGAGTGTACGAACACGATCAAAACAAAGCGAAACGGTTTGACTTGATACACAAGTTGAAACAAATTCATTGGAAAAATATTCAAACTAAAAGCAAAACAGAAACGAGATCAACATAAATGTAATTCAAGATTCGCTAATTAAATCCATTCGATAGATTAAATTTAGAGAATATCTTACTCGATCAGATTTGTATGGCAATGTGAAAATCATATGTTGTTGAGCGTGAACATCATGCCAATAGACGATTGGATTAAACTTTTGCCAAGAAAAACTTTTAAAAGTTTCGATTTCTATGGAATCCTCATTAGCTAACGGCGAAAAAATAATTAGATCCAGTGATGATAAACAAGGCATTTTATCCAGTAGTACGTGCTCAAGTTTTTTGCCATTGAATACATAATATCTACAATCGATATCCATTGAAAGATATTCGATTGTTGATCCAAATGTAGCGAAGAAACTTTCTATATGATCAAAATATTTTATCCAACCTTTGAAAGTAACAGAACGAAGTTTGCTACATGGTTTCACGTCCTTAATATCGGGCGGCGTTTGAACAATACATTCTTGGCTGAACATAGTGACCTAGATATCAAGAATATTCCATAGTGAAAATACGCAACATAAGAATTACGCTAACCTTCAAATTTTGAAGATTGGGTAAATGTTGAATTAGTAAAAATACTGAGCTCATGCCTTCCAATACAATTGAAAGATGTGTTAATCGAGTACAAGGCTCAATATCATCAACAGAAAAATACAGAGGATAATCCAACAAGGTTAGACGTTCCAATTGAGAATCCGATCGAAATAAAAGACTAGCTAGATTATCATATTCATGTGGTTCAGGCTGCACAAATGATAGTCGTTTTAATTTTCCACCAAAACGATCGAGCATTTGCTTTTGATTATCATTAGAAGCATCGAACTCAACCATTTGCATAGATTGAATATTATTCGCAGATAAATGTTTTTCTATCAATGTCAAATGGTTGCTTTGTAGGCGAAGGTGAACGATTTCATGTTGAGTCAATACATTTGATAAATGATTTTGAACCCATTCATCGGACTCTCGAGAAATATCCAACCGTGAAATAAATGGTCGAATAAGTGTTTGAAGTCGGTGTGATTTATCATCAGCGAATATTTTCAAGAGATCAATAGCGCTCAAATATTGAAAAATGCATGGGAAAAGTTCATTTGGCAAGTCAAATAATAATGTTTTCGATGTCATAACAAAAACAACAGTAATTTTATTTGGCAGAACAATAACGTGTTGATGGCTTGTTGCATTTGATTTTATCACTCTTGATAGAAGTTGAATAACAATCAGAACGCAAGAAGTTAACAATCTCAATATTTTCAATCACACTACAGTTACTATGAGAAACAGAAACAAACAAATCAACCAATAACGATAAAACCATAATAGCAATGTACGTGCAAGCAATTCTTTGTATACGAATTGTTATTTTTTTTCGTGAAAATTTGAATAAACATTTATTTTTCTACGATACATCAAACATTATGATAAAAGTTGTTTATGAACAACACTTAATGAAATCCATAAAAGAAAACTCTTCTTTCTTTGTTAAAGTGGTTTAAGAATAACTTTTCTTTGATATTTGCATTAACCGCGATCTTTTTCGTTTTAGTCAAGAACGTTTGCAATCATTCAGGGATAAGCATTTTATGAACTACTTTTTCAAAGTCATCAATGCCGTGAGAAATTTTTTTCTCAAATTTACGGCGTCATAGTTGTGCGTAGTTTTATTGCGTCACGGGAAATTCCGGTTTTACAGGCAAAATGGTACGTTAGCAATACATTTCTCTGGCGGATATATTTATTCTTTTTGTGGCTGCTATAGAGCTTCACAAATAATGACACTAAATAAAGAAGTTCGCAATAACTATCGGATGTCGATATGTGATTTTCAAAAGTAAAACGTAGATTGCGTATCTATTCTTATAATAAAATAACAAAAAATATTTATTATAGATTAAAATTTGAGACTCATAATATTTAATAATATTGTAAAGAAGATTTACTCAGTATCACCGCCATGAAAAAGTTTTTTAGCATTCGGGAAGAGATTATGGGTTTCTTCATTGGTTAAAATATTTTTTTCATCATAAAAATTGACCGTTTGCAATGTTTCAATACGATTTAATGCACTTCGAACGAAATTATCTTCGCGTTCATATTTTAGTATTTCATGAAACAATGATCGACCAATAAACATTTGTAAATAAACTAGATTAGGTAGAAGATGAAGAAACCGACGTAAGATTTGGTAATTGTCAAAATGTGATCGTAACAGAAAACAGAATTTAACAATCGAAGGTAATTGCAAAGTATTATTCGATAGAAAAACATCACTCAGCAGCGAGATAGTTCTATTTTGTTTAAGTTCTCCTCTTGACAACTCAATTGGGTTCGTTAGTTCAAGTGTTTTTATATTTGGAAACGATTTTGCAATAAATTCGAATGTTTCCAACGTCAATGGAGTTGTAACAAGAAGTGACAGTGTCCGAACACGTTCAAAATAAAGGAAAACTTCTCGATTCGATGCACAAGATGAATGGAAGTCATTTGATAGATGTTTGAACTACAAAAAAGCAAACAGTAGTAAATTATTAGTGCGACCACTACGTGCTAAGAATATGAAAATCACACAGGTTATTTAGTCGTATGATTAGAGATGTGTGAAACCAGTTCCGGAACCGAGACGAAAAAACTGTCATCTCACCAAGAGGAAGAAAGCGAGATTGCCATACTCGGACGTACAGTCAGATAGTCCTAAGTAACAGTTCTAGCGAAGAACTATTTTAAATGTGAGACAAAGAAATTCTGCATAACTATAATCACCGGGATCGAAGAAATGTGATTCTGAATATCGGTAAGATAACCGTTGAACAACGAAAAAATATTTTTACTCACAGTCTATGCAGCGGATCCTTACTGGACATTTGGAATATAAACTGTATCCGTGATAATCTAAAATCTGTCATGGTGTAAGTTGCTATAGAACGGTAATCAAGAATTTTTATTGATGTTAAAAAATATACTTGAGAAAAATAATGTGAATTCCACAAAACTTTTGTTTCGACTTAAAAATAAATCTCTTACCGTGTTGGATCTATATGGTAATGTGAAAATTGTATGTTGATGAGCATGAATATCATTCCAATATACTATAGGATTGAATTTTCGCCATGATAAAGTTTGAAACGTGTTAATTCCTATTGACTCACGATGAGCTAGAATCGAATGAATGATAAGATCAAATGATGCTAAACATTGCATTTTATTCAACAGTTCTCGTTCGAGCCGGACACCATCGATGGCATTATACATTAAATCAATATTGATCGTTAAGCATTGAATTGTTGATCCAAATGTAGCGAAGAAATGTGAAAGATGCTCGAAATATCTCGTACAACCTGTAAAAGTAATACGCTGTAGTGTGTTGCACGATATTAGATTTTTAAAATAACATGTTGGTTGAATCATACGTTCTTCAATACGAAATTTAACCTATAAAAACAAAAAATTTAGGCAAAGCGACTAACAGACAAATTAAAATGACCTTTAATTGTTGAAGATTAGGTAAATTTTGCATAAGTATAAACACTCTATGCATTCCTTCAAGTTCAACCGAAAGATATGTTAGTTTAGTACAAGTACTAATTTCATTAGTGCCAAAAAAAAGAGAACGACCAGTAATATTCACATATTCAAGTTGACAATAACGTTGAAACAAATGACTAGCTAGATCTCCTTGTCCATAAGGATCTGTAAATGTAATAGAAAGTCTTTTTAAACGTTGACCAAATTGATCAAGCCCTTGTTTTAATGTATCAGTAGACCAATGAGAGTCAAATATATGCATAGATTGAATCTTACTCAATAGTACATATGGTAAAATTAATGTTATTTGTTTTGCGTGTAAACGAAGAGCAAGAACGTTTTGTTGATTTAATATATCGGGAAGATATGTTTGAATCCATTGGTTCGTTTCTTGAGATATATCAAGATGTGAAATGAAAGGTTGAATAAGTATTTGAATACGATTCGATTGCACATTGAAAAATGTTTGTATCAAATTTTTGGAGTTTAAATATTGAAAAATAAGTGGAAAAAGTTCATTCGGCAAATCAAGTAATTCTGTTTTTGTCATAATCTAGAACAGAAGTATGATCATGTGGAATAATAGATGTTGCATTCAAAACAAAAGCAAAAATGAAGTTATAACCAAGTTCGTACTTCATCATTATTTAACTATCTTCTCTTGTTGTGTTGCAAAGCATAAAATAGCTTCGAAAAGAAATGCTTATAGAATTTATTTCGATGAGTAGAAGAAGAGTTATGCTTGTTTATTAGCTAAAAAGCCAATAGTCAATTCCTTCCCGTAGATTCATCGAAGAAAGATTTGTTTCGAAATCATTGTTTGTTAAACCCTGAAAGGAAATAATCATAATCTATTTTGAAATATTCTAGTAATCGAACTCACAAGTTTAACACAAATAATAATCGGAGGAGTGGCTTGTGTAAAATGAATAACTGGAATACGACGTTTATCCTAACAAAAAAAATTGATGATAAATTTCGAATGAAATAGAACGAAAGTATTTTCTACTTGAGATAATTCATCGGTATAAAATCCTTTTGAAATCTTTTTTGGATCCATATCACAGAAGCACGTCACCTAGAAGAAATGTTCGTTGAAAAAGTAAAACTCATTTTTAATCTACCTTTCGTTTATTGGCATCATTTAATGATCGATAGAATTTTCTTCCCTGAAAAATCAATGGTTGTTAAAAGTAATATTGATGAAGAAAACTAATTCATACTTGTTTTCCTGCATTCCAAATCGTTAATTTTTCAAGATTATCAATAATATTTGATTGCATTTCTTGAATACGTACTGACCATATCACGTCTCTTAAATTGAAAAACCAAACAAATAGAGTAATCCGTTGTAAAATATCACTACAGATATTTTAATGAGACATTGTTAAAAGTCCGCCAAGGGTAGAACCAGATCCGGAGTGGATCTTACTTGACGGAGTCTAGTCAATGGGGATGGAAATTCTTCTTTCAGATTATCTATAAAAGTGTTCTTTTTATTTACTCATGTACAGAAAATGTTGCTGCTTCTGGATGATATCGATAATAGAGAAGCATCTTATCGACTCGATATAATCGACCACCTATCAAAGAAAAGAATTTTTTAATGTAAGAATTTTTCAAAAGAAAAGTGAAATCCATTACCATTACGGAGATGTTTGAAAAAGAATGTTAAATCTTCACAATGACCCTACACAAAGTAGAATGTATCATTAATCAGAAAACATATCATTATAAATATACTGACTTTAGCTATTTCATCAAAGCCTCCTAATCGATCAAACCAAGATCTCGAACAAAACCAAGTTGGCATAATGATAGTAGGTCCATGCGCCAAATATATCTAATAGAAATCGTGATTATGTACAGCATAAACTTTCTATTTTTACTTGTGTATAAAGTTGCTCTTGACTTAAATTATTAGCCCATTGTGTATATCGATCAGTTGATCCTTCGGGAATTCGTTCATATTTTGATCCAACTAAAAATAATAAACTGTAAAAACTAAACTCTATGAATAATGATTAACTATACTCAATATTGCATCATCATTTTCATTGATAGCTACATGATATTGTTCATGAATTCGATTCTGGCACATAAGGTCATCCTAAAAAAGAATATCATTTTTCCGAAAATTTGAATAAATCTATTTTTTCTATACAGCATCTTGAAAACATAAAAATCGACCCGATGAATATTGAACTGCTCGATTTTTCCCATAGCCCACTATATCAAGAAAAATAAAATACTCGCAAAATTATCATTCAGTCTCTCTCACCGCCGCGAGCTTCACTATCTTCATGCCCGTTAATAATTAGTTTGTATTTCAATTCTAATCGTTTTCGCCATTGTTCAATTACACACAAAGTCTCGTCCTAACAATAAAAAAAAACAAATCTAAATAACTCCCAATGAACAAAATGAACTACTTGCTGAACTGCCATCATTATAAATCGATAATTCAATATTAACATTCTCAATGGTTTGATTCGTTAAACTTTCAAATGTTTCATTTAACCATTGAGCAGCATTTCTTACTGGCATTATTATTGACTATCAAGCAACAAAACAAAGATTTAATGTTATTCAACTTTTGTTCTTATCAACATACCACATCAATTGACATTATTATGATTATTATTTTCTTTTTCTTTTTAGTATCTGTAAAAGAACAAATATTTACAAGATGAAATTTTGTATCTATCTTTTTAATTAAATTTATCAATCGTACATCACAGATAGAACGCAAAGAATGAAAAAGAGAAGTCAAAATTATGAATGAAGCGACGTTACTGATGTTTGAAGAATGTAATCAAATAATGGTAACTTTCTGTACAAGTCGGCATAATGTTGAAGATAAGCGCAGAGATCTTTTACTGTTGCTTTTTCATTTGATAAATATTCGTAGACTTCATAGAATGAATCAACTAATTTTTGATCACGAAATGTTAAATAAACAAGCGGGCGTCCAGCTTGTGATGCAGCAATCAATTGTATAATCGCTAGAGAAAATACAAAAGTGATTATCAAAACAAAATGAAACTTTTCTTCTGAATTGTGAAAAAAATTCGATATCTGTAAAGATATTTTTTTACTTTCTTTCTTTCTTTCTTTCTTTCTTTCTTATTGCATATTTGTTGAGTACAAGATACTTTAATCGATAGCAGCTGGACTCTTTGTAATCAAATTTTGTTATTAAATGAAGAAAAATATAGGAAATATCAGAGATTTATTTTAATCAAATGACTAATTTTTATTTCGAAGCGGAACCGACTGATTTAAAACTCTAATGACGATATATCTATACGAGTGATATTATCAGAAAGGTGAATATTTACCTTTCAATTGTTTATTTCCATTAAATGCACCACAACCCCAATTGCCCGTAACAACACCTGATTTTTTGTCAGTGACTGCTGCTGGAATACGAAAACACGTATAAGCTTTTATTAGTTCTCTTTTCATTTGAGGTAATTTGAATTGTGTCGCCCGATTATAAAATGCAATAGCATCCATTGCAACAACGTGACATAATTTTCGACCCCAAGAGTCTCTAGAAAAAAACCGGAATAATTCAAGTTTAATAATGATTAAAACGAATTAAATTTTACTTTGGAGTTTGATCGACGTAATTTTCTTTAAATTCAAATGACGTTGAGTAACCTCGATATGATGAAAAACGTTCACAGCCAATAAGAAAAACACATTCATTTGGTTTCATTACTTCGCATAATAATAAACTAATAAGCATTTCAGGACAAATAACAAAACGTATTTCTTCTTGTACACAACCTTCATTCATTACACCGCCACCCTACATATAGAAAAGAATATTTTTTTCTAATCGTATAAATTTTAGAGACAGTATATTTTGTTTTTTTCTTAATGACAACAATTAGAAATAAACTGCAACAATATTCAAGAATTCATTGTCGCTCTCGCGTTGATAAATTCGTTGAAAAAAAAAGTTTTTTATTGATTAGATACTTTTGGCTATATAAGATCGATGAAATTCGGAAAGTTAATGCTGATTTCAAGAAATTTTTCAATGCCGATATCAAATTTTACTTACAATATATTTATTAGCAAAGTCAACCTAAAAAACAAAAGCTTTAAATAAAATCTAGGAGAAAGCTCATAAATTTACTTGTAAAAGACCAGCTACATCTTCTATACTCTTATTTTTTGTTATATGAATTTTACATAAAGGTTCTTTGGATTCTGTCCATTTCGGTGCACAGCTTTCCGGCAATTGATAACGTCGAAGTGTCATGACACCATTGGGCACTTGAAATCAAAACCATTCAAAATTTTCAAAGAGCAATACTAGATTCTTTTTTACTTTTCTCAGTAATACGATGAAAATAATGAAAAACACATTTGAGCTTTTCAATTTTCCACGTAGATCCTCCTGATCTACCACCGTGAAATAACCTGAAATGAATCAAATAGAAAAATAATATTTCCGAATAAGATTAGAAAAACTAGTTTTTTACGTGTTAAAGTTTGGATTTGGATAATTTTCATATTCGCTGCCTATTTTCTGATTAAAGCGTCGAGGGAACAAGCAAAAAAATGCACAAGCTAATAGTGAAGCTGCTTGTTTTTGTGACATCGTCACTGTGCGATTTGATCCTATACGTAGTAATGGTGGTGGCTGGAAGAAAAAAACAAAGAATCAAATCGATCGTTTTTAATTAAATGAATTCATACTCGACTACAAATTTTATCAACATTCAATGCCAAACTACAAATATTCGAAAGAACAGTAGACATAAAATAGCCGCGCTCATCTCCCGAATAAACCTTAACAGAGAAATCAAGCGTCAAAAATTTCATTTAAATAAAAATATACTTCATTCAAAAGTCGTTCAAGACAATTGAATTCATAGTTTCGTCCAGCACATTCTTCAATCGTTTCCTAATATAAATAATTTAAATCTATAAAATAAAAGCAAAACTCCAAGCGTACTTTGATATCTTCCATTGTAGCCATTTGTGTTTCTGATAGATGTTGAAGTTTTGTTAATGATCCTTGAATTATTGGCCATCTCTGCGTACCATTTTTCTGAAAGAAAAAAATTTCTTTGTTTGGACAAAAATAAGAATTTAGTTTTTACAGTTATATAAGATTGTGAACAAGGTAAACGAACATAATCTTGATCCCATTCATCGACATAAGTGCCATTCTCATAAAATGGTTCAGGTTCACGATCAGGAGCATTTGGATCGTATTTAAATGGCTAACCAAGATTATAGATTATGCATACAAGATATATACAAACTAAACATACTTTAATTAGAAATGTATGATTATTATCACGAATATCATTCATATCAGAAAGTGTCGGTGGATGTTGGCATATATTTGCTATTTCAGATAATGGCGTACCCTTAATAGAAAATTCATTTATTACATTTTGTTGAAAGAGAAATTACTTGAAATGTTCCATCATCTTCTTCGTCTACATTAACTAAATCCAAACCTGAAATAGATCAAGTTATAGAATAATTATGATGAGTAGAAACAGTTACTATCAGTTGTATGTTGTGATGAAGGTTCTTCTTGAGAATACTCATTTTCATTAAATTTTCCTTCGAGACTATCTTCATCGTAGCTAAAACAAAAAGATTATGTTCTGAATGAAAGGTTTTTTCAATTAAAAAATAGGCTTGATGTGATTGAGAATATCCGGCGGTTGAGTTTCTAAAGAACGGTTCGACTAGTAGGTTATAGACTTTTATTTCCTACGATGATGTACAACAACGACGCTATGTCATTTGAAATTCTTCCTTTATGCAAGCAGCCAAAATTTATTCTTTACCCATAAAATCGTTACTTTTTTCATTTTATTGAAAGGAATTATTCAAGTAACTAAAGATTCTAATTGCCGAGAAATAATATCTTAGATTTTATTAACTTCAACAAAACAAAAATTTACACATCGCAAAATATGATATATGACAACAGAAAAATATTCATGCAAGACACATTAAAACAGCTTTAGTGGAATGGAAAATGCTGCCTGTGAGATTATGAATGGGCTTACCCACTTCAATACTTATTTCAAGTTTACTTACTTGTTTATTCGTGGTGATGATGGCTCATCACAAGACTTATCTTCTAGCGAAAATAAAAAAGGTTATGATTACACGTATAAAAACGAATAATAGAATACTTTTCTGAACATTGCTTGTAGTTTCTTCTGTACCATCATCATATGGAGAAGAAATAGGTCTGATGAAAAGAATTCGAACAATATGTTATTTGATATTTTGACTATTCTTACTCATCATTTTTATCACTAGTACTTGTGTTTACAATATCTGAACCTTTCGTACGTTTTCCATGATTTTTCGTTTCAGTTTCAACTGTAAAAACAGAGAAAATGCTTTTTGAATAGGCAATTTTTAAATGTAAAATATAGGGTACTATTCGAAGAAGTAATCAGTTCAATACATCTTTTTTTGCTGAATGTTGTGGCAGTTGTTATGTTAACATCCTGATGATCTTTATTGGATTCTTGTTCCACATTTGCTGTTGAATCGCTCATGATTTCGAGTGATCTTTTATACTTGATATATGAAAACAAGAAGAAAACCTTGTTTTTTTCAGCTTAATTTTGATTGCTCAATGATTGTGCAATAACCGTATTCTGTTGTGTCTAGAGGGCGGTAGATACCCAGGTCGAACATACACGGTCGTATACGACGGTAAATCGCCGTATTTGGCCGTATTACATGGCTCCGTATTACGATCGTAAATCTCCGTGCCGTATACGGCGAAATACGGCGCTTTA